TGGTATATCTTGACGCCTTTTCCCCCATTGTTACGTTACTGCTCCTATTTATCCGGTAACACAAGTACTTCTCTCCCTCAAGCGGAGCGCAGGTGTTGGCGGCGCCGCTCCGGGTGGCCAATTGCTCTTTCTTGTATCTTGATGGGAGTGCGCTACCTTCACTCCTCTGCGGATCGCGCTGCGGCAATTGCGAACGGACGGTGGCCTGTTTTCTTGGTACGCTTACAGGTGCCTCTCCACCATTTTTGAAGTGCCTCGCCTTGACCCTGGTTGCGCCCTCTTGCGCCATTGGTTCATTGCTAAGCGTTTTTTTCACACTCCTGCTATGCTGAGCACTTCGCCGTTGCTGACGATGGTAGTTGTCGTCTTGCGATCACTGTTGTGGTGTCCATCCTTCAATGCACATCTGGTGTCCATAGATGCTATTTGACGCTGGTGATTGGAGGCTTGCGCTCGACCGCTGATTGGCGTAGGAGATTTTTATCCTGGCTTGCGTTGTACTCCCTCGCCTTGGCATAGCGTGTCCGAGGTTCCCTCGGATCTATGGCTACTGCCCTGCTGAATCCCCCCGCGTAGCCTGAAGTATTTTCGCACGAAGCGCTTGGTGATTCGCGAAGGTTTCCCCTCCATTCGTCGACATTGTGATTGGGTTGAGTGCGGCCCGCTAAGCCTTCTCTCCATCGGTTTCGGGTTACTCTGAGCATGGCGGCTTCCTCTTCTTCTTGGCCCGATACGGTAACACTTATTTATTTCCTATAATACCTCTCCACCTCTCCCTGTGTTTGTACTCTCCTGGATCTAGCGTAGATCCTCCACTCCACCTCTCCCTGTGTTTGTACTTCTCCTGGATCTAGCGTAGATCCTCCATTCTGGAACGATAACCAATGGGTCTTTCCCCCTGATGAGCTAGCCCGACAGACGCTAGTGAAAAAGCTCTAGGGACTTTGTCTGTCAAACCCATTTTTTTGGTTTCGTCGACACTTGGGGTCGCATGACCGGACAGGGATTCCTCAAAAAAAAAATCCCTTTTCTCTCTTTTTTGGTTTTTGCTTCGTCTTTTTCCCTTCCTTATTATGTCCTTATCTGATCGGATGTGGATGCTTCCTAACGATTTGTGCCTTCTATTTCCATTTTCGTTGCATGTCTGTTTGGCTGTTTGTCCTGTCCTTTTAGGAACTGCTGATGGGGTCGCGACTTTTGTAGGAGTTTCTCGTCGTGCTTCCTGAAGGGACCTGCTCCATCTTTGTGGATTACTCCACTTTGGTGTTAGGATTAGTCACACTTTTTAATCTACTCCTAGCTACCGTTGCTTTCTTAGCATTTTTGGACAACATCCACTTGCATAATTCCAATTGCCGTTTGTCTCCAGATGCCCTGTCCCCCTTTAAATCCTCCATCCATCATGTTGCGTTCCCCGCCACTTTCGTCTTCTCCCTTATAACTATCCTCATCCTCTTTGTAGCCTTCTTTCTGTTTAGCCTCCCCAATCATTCGTATGTCTTCCATCATGGCTGTTCTTTCCCCCCTCAGAGTATGCGGGAGGTCCTTTCTTCTCCTCCTTCGCTTTCTTACCTTCCACTCTTCTTCCTTTTGGCGGTCGCCGCTTTAATAACTGTTTTCTTGATCTTCGCCGTTGGTGGTACTAGTTTGCTGTGTCAATCGGCCCTTCGAATTGGCATATTTTCCCTCGTAGATTAGATCAAAAGGCTCGTAAAGCTTGCAGCGCTAGTGAATCCTATTTAGACCTCGTTTTTTCCCCATTTTATCGTAGAAGTTGGAACTTTCTGGACTTCGGCTGCTCTTTTGGATCCCTTGGAACTTGGCTGTCGCTCTGTTTGTAACTTCCATCCTTCCTCACTCTGGGACATGTTAGTGCGATCATAGCCTTCTTTATTTCCTTTGGTTGCGAGAAATTATGTGCGCGGCAGAACTGCTCTGGTTTTGAGTGCTTCTCCATCCCAGCTTTATGGATGGTTGCACCGCAACTTTCATGATCTAGTTTCCGTCTCTCTTTGCCGTGTCCCTTCGCTTGCTTTCTAATCGCTCTGTAGGATTATCTTTCTTACCTCCAGGGCTCTTTCCATATGGCATGGTAGGATTTAGGACC